TATTATTATTATTATTATTATGTATTACCTACAAGTGATGATCTTCAGACTAAGGACACAACACACAAGACTGAGACAACATATGTACAAATGTTTTAAACTAGTATAATCACCAAAATGTCAGTGTGGAGAGGCGGACCAAACCGTTGAACACGTCCTTCAGCACTGCAAGACACACAGGGCCCTGAGACAGGAAACGTGGCCAACCCCACTGACGCTACAAGAGAAGCTATACCGGCCGACAGATGAACTGAGCAGGACGGCCCAGTTTATGACAGATACCAGACTTCAAGTGTGATGCGATCGAGAAGAAGAAGAAGAAGAAGATGTATTACCTATAGTACCATTTTTCTTTAATGGTTATCGGGATCGTCGCTGCTTCAACACAAAAGGTCAGGAGAACCCCCAGCAGCAGCGACACCGCGCTGATCACTGGAACTTTCATCCTCAGGTTTGACCACGGAGTTGGAGAAGTGCTCTGAATTTTAAAAAATAAAAGAGAATCACCCAGTTCATTCACGTAAAACTATGTTTTGTTTGCTTTAGTAAGGTTTTACGGCACTTGCAACTGCATGACGTCATATGAGCGCCAAGGGGTGGATGTCAACAGAGACTCTGCTCACCTCTCTAGCCTCAACAGCACAAAGTCTGCTTCGACTATCAAGGCACCCCGGAATTGGCTGTTCACAAGAGAGAGACAAACATACAACATACAAAAGAATGATAGGAATGTGATATCAATATATGAATGATAGCCGGTGAGGTTGAGGTAGGGTGGGGATGGTGGTGGTGGGGGGGGGGGTCAGTATGAATGATAGCCGTTCAGTTTCACAAACCACGAGCGCCACTGATAATCACTATGTTCGAGCATGACACCTACCAATCCAGAAAGACAATATTATGTGTTACGACGCGGTGGAATCAGGCGCTCGTAAATCTTTGGGCATATGGAGTTATTGGCATAATCTTAAAAGCTTGTTTACTTGTCTTTCTTTCGGTGAAAAATATACCCATCTATCTTGAATAGAAGTCGAGATATTTGTGATGAAGGAGGTCGTGGGTAGCCTCTTTTCTGAGGTAAAATTTGCGAGAAAATGGAATTTGCAACTGCTATAGCTGCAGAGTCCTTGAAAACTGAAAATTTACAAATTTTGTGCCATTAATCAATGTTTTTCCAGTAAAATTCACATTTTAATTAATTTTTTATATTGACATAAAATGTGCTTGGCCAAAATACAAAAATTTGACTGAAGTTGCCAAACTGGAGGAAAAAATGCCTTTTTTTTTTTTTTTAGTAGAGGTTTTACGGCGCTCGCAGCTGCATAAGGTCATATGAGCGCCAGAAGATTAGAGGTGTTACAAGAGA